CATGTCCCATTATAGAGTATTTTACCAGGCTATATAATCCAAATACCCCATAAAGCCATACCATTTCTTAAAGAAGACATCCCAGAGTATTTCAAAATGCATATTTTGAACCTTAGCGTGGGATCATTTTTCCGCTAGCTTGTACCAAGTGTAGTGGTAATAAGTGTTTTTTCTGCCTTTTTGACACACAAAGTGAGTTTGCACAGTATATTTTGCAAACCTTATGTGTGCTACGACTGTATAATACTTCATATGTTGCTCAGCTTTGTGGTTTGAGTACAGCAATACCCCCGTATGTACCTTTGCCAGGTATATGTGGATGTTGAAGCGGCGCATTTGAGACGCAGCCATTCAGTTTTTTTCTAACTTTGAAGTTTTACGCTGTGTCCATGTTCCAATTTGGAGTAGTTTAGACTGTTGGTTATTGAAACTTCCCCACAAGCACATACTATTTATTAAAGAATACATCCTGGGGTAATTCAAAAGGCATATTTTGAACCTTAGTGTGGGATCATTTTTTCTCTAGTTTGTTCCAGGTGTAGTGGTAATGAGCGTTTTTAAATGTATTTTTTTACTTTTGAAACTTTTTTTACTTTTAAAAACAAGTTTTTAAACTTTTCTTTTGCTTATTAATTTTTTTAAAACTTTCCTAAACTTTCTTAAAACTTTTTTTTACAGATTTAACATTTTTCTCAGCTTTTTTTTTTACCGTTAACCCCTAACTAGCAGTAAGCAGCACTAACAGTAAATTCCCCATTTTCCCATAACTCCCACCCACCCCAGCTAGCAAAATATATCATTATAAAATATTTAAATTAATGAATTAAATAAATTGAACCCCTGAGGGTTAAAAAAATAAATAAAAGTTAATCCTAAAAGTATAATACTATGATCTCTATTTTGATCCCTGTAGGCAGTGATCGACTGGCAGGGAAGGGGTTAATTTTTATTTGGACTGGGTAAAGGGTTTTTTTTTAGTTTTTTTTTACTTAAACATTATTAAACCTTTTTTTAGCTTAATTTTTAACTTTTTAAAGTTTATTTTAAAACTTTTTTTAACGTTAACCCCTCGTTAGCGTAACACCAAATCCCCCAATTCCCCACTTACTTCCACCCACCCCAGCTAGCTAAATATATAATTTTAAAATATTTAAATTAACTAATTAAATAAATTGAACCCCTGAGGGTTAAAAAAATAAATAAAAGTTAATCCTAAAAGTATAATACTATGATCTCTATTTTGATCCCTGTAGGCAGTGATCGACTGGCAGGGAAGGGGTTAATTTTTATTTGGACTGGGTAAAGGGTTTTTTTTAGTTTTTTTTTACTTAAACATTATTAAACCTTTTTTTAGCTTAATTTTTAACTTTTTAAAGTTTATTTTAAAACTTTTTTTAACGTTAACCCCTCGTTAGCGTAACACCAAATCCCCCAATTCCCCACTTACTTCCACCCACCCCAGCTAGCTAAATATATAATTTTAAAATATTTAAATTAACTAATTAAATAAATTTAACCTCTGAGGGTTAAAAAATAAGAATTAACCCTCAGGGGTTAAAAAAAAAAATCAGATGACAGTAAAATGTAACCCCTGCCAATTGATCACTGAAGTCAGTGATCAATTGTCAGGGAAGGGGTTAATTTTTTATTAAAATGGGTAAAGGGGGTGGGATTTTAAATTAACTTTATTTTTTTTTTTACACAGGGGGCAGGATCATCACTGTTCCGGCTCCCTGCACTTCACACAGAATCAGGAAGTACAGGGAGGCGGAAGGTAAGTATACTGAGCACATGTGCTCGCTCTGACAGGCTGTCAGAGCGAGCACATGTGCTGGGGCAGCACTATCAGGTGCTCCCGGTCTGCCTTTAATACAGAGGCAGAGACCGGAGCACCATTAACCCCGCCATCGCTGTGATAGCGGCGATCCGGGGTTAATTTTAATGGGTGACTGACAAGGTCCGTCACTCGTCGTTATGGCAATCCCCTGAGTGACGGACCTCGTCCGTCACTCATCGTTAAGGGGTTAAACGTTACTTTCTAGGGAGTCAAATATACCAGCTTTTTTTTTTTTTTTTGGCTAATTTAGATAGGATTTTCAAACGTCTTCATAAGTCTAAAGGGCAATCCAGATGTGGGCCCCTTGCTCAAAGTGCATAGGTATATCAGTTCCATTTCACCTACAAGGCTTAATGAAGGACAAAATGAATATCTAGAGTTGCTGTATCTCTTGTGCAGAAGAAACCTGCCAGCATTTCTGATCATTTCACACTTTCTGGGTGGGTTGGATCAGTGTGATATGTGGCAGGCTTTCGTATTCTCTGTAATGGCGCAAGTCAGCTAAAACCTGTTTGAGACTAAGTGGGAATGCAATAAATGTCAAACTATTTGAGTTGTTGTCTATTCTCAATGCTCTCATTAATTCTTGGTTTTGGTTCATTTGCATATGGCTAAGGTCACCCTAAGTCAAAGGGTAATCAAGACTTGTACCTCTAGATTACGGTGATTAGAGGGGTATCACCTTTACTTCACAGAGGAGACCCAATGAAGGCCAAAAAATTGCTTGGAATTGCTCTTCCCTGCAGAGGGAACCAGTAAGCATTTGGATTTGAATTACCATTGCAGGTAGGCTCAGTCTGATATGTGACAGGCTTATCTCTGTAACATAATAAATCAACTAAAACATGTGTGAGACCTGAGTGAGGATTCACTGAAGGACACATTATTTGAACTGTTGTCTGTTCTCATAAACTCTTGTTTTTACCTAGTAAAACTTAATGCAAAAAAAATAAAACATTAGCACCTGCTTTCTTTCATGTGAATATCTCTTCCACACTACTGCCACTAGATGGCAGAATTTACTTATTTTGTTAAGATTTCTACTGTGAAAAATCTATAACCAAGGATTGTGTGTATGTATGTATATTTGTTTAACATATATAGTCAATACATTGTTAAATACAGGTCTGCACACCAGTCAAGCCATACGAGTTGCTTTTCCCACATAAATCTCCAATTTGCAGTGATGTTACTACTGCAATGGATTTTGGGTGGGCATATGCAAATTATTTCAACAAAGAATCACATTATTGCCTCTTGATTCCATTTTAAATATGGATTCCTTGGAATTTGTGTTTGCTGTATACAACCGCTTTGAAACACAACTCAGGAAGAGGTGCAAAGCCAGTAAACAATTCATGGACTGCTGTTTTGTTGTTAATGCAACTCATCAGCACAAGGTAAATACAAACATAATCAAAATTAAAAAATATAAAAGCAGCACTGAGAACTGCTTCACGGCAGGTGAACTGAGGCTGTACATATACTTGACACTAATTTAAATCTGCATATACAAAACAGTAGCTATCTGATAACCTTACATACTTATAATTCCATAAAATGAAACATTTAAATGTGAGGGTCTGAAGCTGGACTCAACTCAACTTAAACATATAATTACACAATTAACGTGGTGAGGAAAATATAATTCCTAATCATCCTCAATAAGCTACCAGTGGGTGTAGATGGGACCTCCAACTCCTATCACAGTTATCCGTCAACTCTCATCATCTGAAAGGTTGAATCCTATATTCATCTGTGGAGCAATAACCGGACACACTAGACTGTAGACACATAGATGCCAGAAGAGAAAGTTGTAGAAAATATTGACCTAAACACAACATGCCCGTCCTTCACTTAGCGTAATTATTGAATTCCTCATAGTATGCCTCAAACCTTTTCGGGCAATAAACTTTATAAAACCTGTTCTCCTTTCATATAAATCAAAGCAAAAAGATCCACTGTACAGTTATGAATATATACATAGCATGCCAAGCCCCAGAAAAGAGGGAAAATAAAGGCAAGAACTCCCCAAATACAACTAGATCGATGTTTGATGGTATATCTCTTTCCTGTATGTGGATGGGTGAAGTATTTCCCTGGAAGCATATGTCCACAGGTGACGCATCCCAGACACCTGTAACAGCCCAAATTGGTAGGAACTTGTTCCTGTGAATAACAATGTGTTGGATCTGTTCGGACCAATAAGTCTTTAAGACTCTTGTTCCTTTTGTAACACATCATGGGTGGTTGACGGAACTGTTCTTGTAGTGTGGTGTCATTTTTCAATATTCTCCAGTTCTTATCAACAATTTGTTTAAATTGTGAAGAAGCTGTGGTAAATGTCATAGGGAAAACAAATATTTCCATAGGGGACTTCTCTGGTGTAGTTTGTACTTGGTGGCACTTATACAAAGCTTGCTGTAGTGTGTAATTGCTGTAACCTCGTTGTTGAAATTTGTCCCACATATGTCGTAATTGTTCCTCGGCCTTGTTTTTATCAGAATTGTTCCTCAGAACCCTGAGCAACTGAGAGTACGGTAAAGACCTTTTCAAAGCATTAGGGTGAAAGCTATTGGCTTGTAAAAGGGTGTTTCTGTCCGTCGGTTTTGAATAAAATGCATAGGGCAGCTTGTTGCCTTCTCTGAAAATTCATACATCCAAGAAGTCCACTGTGGATGGATCCACCGTCATGGTCAATTCCACATTCAAGGTTCATAAATTGATATTTTGTACCATTGCCTCTGCAAAAGATATGATCAATCTAATGACCGAATACTATGATGATATCAATAATGGATCCAATATGTGTTCAAATTCAAATCTAAACATGTAGCCATTAGTGTACATTGGGGCCATGGAAGCTCCCATGAACGTACCAGCTATCTGTCTATACCAATCTAGTTCAAAGCAGAAATAGTTCTGCGTGAGGACCAATTCTAAAATTTCCATCACATACTCAACAGGTGGTCCTTCATATTTTTTTAAATCATGGAGAATCTGTCTCATGGCTTGTACCCCTCCTGAGTGCGGTATGATCGTGTAAAGGCTCTTTACATCGCAGGTGACCAATGATACTGGTTCCACCGGTGTATTCACAGTGGAGATAAGTTGAATGAAACTTGGGTAAGTTTTCAATCATTCCCTTAAAAAGGAAATCTAATCATCTTGCCAGGGGATCCAAGATTGCACCAACTGCCGAAACAATTGGTCTCCCTGGGGGGTCTTGAAGACTCTTGTGGATCTTGGGGAGTATGTAGATCACCGGTGTTCTAGGGTTTGACTGTTGTAGGAATTCCCAGAAGTCTTGGTCAAGGAACTCTTGTTCCAGACCTTTCTGTAGAGTAGTTTCGATTAAGCGTTTCACTTGTATTGTAGGGTCCCCATTTAATTTCAGATAGGTGTCAGAATCAGATAGTTGATGCAATATTTCCAACCTATATTTACTATAGTCTTGGATGCCTCCACCCTTATCGGCTGATCTAATGGCTAGTGACTTGATAATTTCCCTATCTTGTTTTGAACAGTTGGAATGGTGTGGGTGAGTGATTCCAAGATGGTCAGTAGTTTCCTTTTGTACTGATCTCATAAAGGTTTTAATAGTAGCTTGATTTGGCATTGGATCGAAGGTGTTCTTTTTCTTAAATTGCATTCTTTGTTCCTCAGACAGAGTTTATTCTTAACCCCTTAAGGACCAATCTTCTGGAATAAGAGGGAATCATGACATGTCACACATGTCATGTGTCCTTAAGGGGTTAAAGAAATCCTTAAGTCGCAACGATCTATCAAACTTATATAGTTTGACTTCCCAGTCCAATTGATTGGGTCTGGCTGTGGGTACAAAAGATAGACCCTTGCTGAGAAGTGTTGTCTCTGCCACTGTCAAAACTCGAGAGGATAAATTAAAGATCGGTATTATCTCCTCTGTCGTGGAGATTTTCCTCTGGCACCAGAAAGTTCGTCCCTTCTGTCCACGTCTGGTAATCGTCCTTCTTCTGGAATTGTGATTCGGCTCCGATATCGGGTTTGAATTCCCAAATGGTCTGAGCTTGTTCCTTTTTAAAAAGGCTGCAACTGTGAAATTCCTGCCGTAGTGTATTCTCTGGAGTCTCTATTGTAGTCAGATTCTGAACTGGATTCTCCAGATGTTTTGTCTATTGTAAATTGCCTGGGCTTGCGGATTGGTCTCTTCTTTCTTGCAAACCTGGGACGGTCAATGGTACCACTTAACCACTTATACACTCTGTGTTCCTTGTAGTCAGCTGCCACCTTGTCTTGTTTCTCCCTCTTGAATCTAATAACATCAGTTTTACATTATTCTCCAATTTCAACAATGTTGGAGTCGCCTCTGGTGTTGCTAATAATGAAGCTTGCTGGGTCTCTAGTTCAGCAATTTTCCTTCTTATTTGTATTAAGTCTTCCCTGACATCCTCTATGATGATCAACATAAGATCTAATGAGCACTTGTTCAAAACTTTTTACAAACTCTTGGTTTTAGTCTCCCAATGGTAGGTATATTACTGACCCTAAAACCCTAAAATGTTTGCATGAAAAGAGTCAAAATACCCCAAGTTTAATACCTTAGGTTGTCTTCTTTTAAATGGTATATACATGTGAAGGGTTATTCAGGGATTCCTGACAGATCAGTGTTACAATGTAATTTTCGTTAATTTTGGAAAAAATTATTGTTTGGAAATAGCAAAGTGCTATTTGTATTTATTGCCCTATAACTTGCAAACAAAAGCTAAGAACATGTTAACATTGGGTATTTCTAAACTCAGGACAAAATTTAGAAACTATGTAGCCTCTGTGTTTTTTGACAGTTGTAAATGCATAATAGATTTTGGGGTTCAAAGTTAGAAAAAGTGTGTTTTTAAAAAACTTTTTATCATATTTTATAAAAATGTTTTTATAGTAAATGATATTATAAAGATAATGGTTTCTTTATGAAGACCATTTAATGGTGAGAAAAACGGTATATGTATGTGTTAGTACAGTAAATGAGTAAGAAAATTACAGCTAAATACAAACACTGCAGAAATCTAAACACAGCCCTGGTCCTTAAAAGAAAGAAAATTGAAAAACGGTCTAGTCACTAAGGGGTTAACATCACCTAACACAGCATTACCTGTGAAAAAGAATTGAAATTGTAAACAATTTAAAAAACTATTTTAAAAAAAATTTATTTTACTTTTTACAAGTCCAGTGCAACTAAGTATGAAGAACTCAAAATAGATTCATATATCAGTTCTGATTGTTAAAAGGCTAATATGTTTAGGATGTTTAAGAACCTTAACCTTTCACAAACCGTACACTAACACTAAGTGCAACCCTACCCTACTCTTACCCCTAAATGTAACAATAACCCTACTATAACCAGGGTCAGTGCAGGTTTTTTTTTCCCAGCCCTTTTATGTTAATCCTCTCCCCTTCATCAGACTCTCTGTGTGTCTCTTCCCCTCCCTTTGCCCCTTTGTGTCTCTTTCTATTCTTCCCCATCCACTCTGGGTGTCTCCCCCAATCCCATGTTTCTCTCTTTTGCCCCTTGTTTAGCCCCTATCTGTCTCATTTTCTCCACCCCACTGGGTGTCTCTCCCTCAAGCCCCTGTCTGTCTCTTTCCCCCTTCTCCAATCTGTCTTTTTTGTCCTTTCCACAACCCCTCTGTGTCTACCCCCCCCAGCTCATTTGTGTTTCTTTCCCCCAGCCCCTCTGTGTGTGTCTCTTTCCCTCCACTGCCCCTTTTGTGTGTCTCTTTCTCCCCTTCCCAGCCCCTCTGTGTCTCTGTCTCTTCCCCCTAGAACTGTGTCTCTTGCTCTCCCAGCCCCTCTGTATTTTTGTATTCCCCCACAGCGCCTCTGTGTCTCATTAACCCAGCCCCCTTCACTCTATGTTTTAGTACCCCCCAGCTGCTCCATTCTATGTGTCTCATTTGCTTTCCTCTGTGTATTATTCCCCCTACTCCTTTTGTCTCACTCTCCCAGTCCCTCCATGTTTCTCATCCCACTCAACTCCTCCATGTGCCTCACCCCCAGCTCCTCCATGTGTGTCATTCCCCCCATACCCTTCATGTGTCTCATTCTCCCAAGCCCCTCCATGTGTCTCATTCCCCCAGAGCTTCTTCACGTGTCTCATCCCCACCAACCCCTCTCTGTGACCCATTCACCATAGCCCCTCATTTCCCCCAGCCCCTCCATTTGTCTCATTCCCCCTTAACTCCTCCATGTGACTCATCCCCCACCCCATGTATCTTACTTACCCTGTCTGCCTCTATGTGTGTTACCCGCCTTCTCCATGTGCCTGCTCACCTCCCTCCCCATGCCGAGCTGCAGACTGTGGTAGAGGAGCTTCCATATCCTGTCCCTGGTCTGACAGGAAGCAGTTTGGCACTCTCAGTGAGCACTTCCCATCAGACTTAGTAGAGGTTACAGGACCTCCTCTACCGCAGTCTGCTGCTTGCCCACAATACATGTAGTGACCGTCATGAGGGAACTGCTGTGCATTCTCTTCCTGATGGTCAAATAGATCCTGGTACCCCCAGCCACTAAACCCAACCCTATCCCAAGGTAACCCACTGCTAATATAAATTCTGATATTAGAAATGGTTTTTAATGTAGATAACTCAGTAGTAGTGGTATGTAGCCACCATCTACTGTCAAAATTCAGAATTACACTATTTGTAATTCTGAATAGAGCCCTGGTCCCAGCCAATTATATAAAGATTAGTCCTGGGCAGCTGGTAAAGCCCAGCACCAGTCCTAATTGGCTAGAGACAGGCTGGAAGACCCTGTCAGGTCTCACCAAAGCTGCCTGCAATCTGAATGGAGTTGAAGGGCTTTGTGCAGTGCTGACTTCCACTACAAATGATCCCAGCTGACTAACAGAAACACCAAGTATCCAATGACACCAAGAATTAGTGGTGTGAGCAGGGATTTAACCATACTCACAATGCAATCTCTAAGTAGGCATTACTGTTTAATCTCTAAGTAGGCATTATAGTGCACGTGAACAATAGCCCCAGCACATTAAAGGGGCCCCAGGTATCCATTGACAGATTGGGTTAGAGGTATGATCACACAGTGATATTTTAATAGGCATTTAGATGCCGTTTTAAAGAGCTGCTTGCAGATCTGCAAACAGCTCATCTAAAAGTCTAGGGCCATACAGGGAGTGCAGAATTATTAGGCAAGTTGTATTTTTGAGGATTAATTTTATTATTGAACAACAACCATGTTCTCAATGAACCCAAAAAACTCATTAATATCAAAGCTGAATATTTTTGGAAGTAGTTTTTAGTTTGTTTTTAGTTTTAGCTATGTTAGGGGGATATCTGTGTGTGCAGGTGACTATTACTGTGCATAATTATTAGGCAACTTAACAAAAAACAAATATATACCCATTTCAATTATTTATTATTACCAGTGAAACCAATATAACATCTCAACATTCACAAATATACATTTCTGACATTCAAAAACAAAACAAAAACAAATCAGTGACCAATATAGCCACCTTTCTTTGCAAGGACACTCAAAAGCCTGCCATCCATGGATTCTGTCAGTGTTTTGATCTGTTCACCATCAACATTGCGTGCAGCAGCAACCACAGCCTCCCAGACACTGTTCAGAGAGGTGTACTGTTTTCCCTCCTTGTAAATCTCACATTTGATGATGGACCACAGGTTCTCAATGGGGTTCAGATCAGGTGAACAAGGAGGCCATGTCATTAGATTTCTTCTTTTATACCCTTTCTTGCCAGCCACGCTGTGGAGTACTTGGACGCGTGTGATGGAGCATTGTCCTGCATGAAAATCATGTTTTTCTTGAAGGATGCAGACTTCTTCCTGTACCACTGCTTGAAGAAGGTGTCTTCCAGGAACTGGCAGTAGGACTGGGAGTTGAGCTTGACTCCATCCTCAACCCGAAAAGGCCCCACAAGCTCATCTTTGATGATACCAGCCCAAACCAGTACTCCACCTCCACCTTGCTGGCGTCTGAGTCGGACTGGAGCTCTCTGCCCTTTACCAATCCAGCCACGGGCCCATCCATCTGGCCCATCAAGACTCACTCTCATTTCATCAGTCCATAAAACCTTAGAAAAATCAGTCTTGAGATATTTCTTGGCCCAGTCTTGACGTTTCAGCTTGTGTGTCTTGTTCAGTGGTGGTCGTCTTTCAGCCTTTCTTACCTTGGCCATGTCTCTGAGTATTGCACACCTTGTGCTTTTGGGCACTCCAGTGATGTTGCAGCTCTGAAATATGGCCAAACTGGTGGCAAGTGGCATCGTGGCAGCTGCACGCTTGACTTTTCTCAGTTCATGGGCAGTTATTTTGCACCTTGGTTTTTCCACACGCTTCTTGCGACCCTGTTGACTATTTTGAATGAAACGCTTGATTGTTCGATGATCACGCTTCAGAAGCTTTGCAATTTTAAGAGTGCTGCATCCCTCTGCAAGATATCTCACTATTTTTGACTTTTCTGAGCCTGTCAAGTCCTTCTTTTGACCCATTTTGCCAAAGGAAAGGAAGTTGCCTAATAATTATGCACACCTGATATAGGGTGTTGATGTCATTAGACCACACCCCTTCTCATTACAGAGATGCACATCACCTAATATGCTTAATTGGTAGTAGGCTTTCGAGCCTATACAGCTTG